TGCAGGTGCCCTTTTCAATATTAAATTTTTATTTACTGGCTTCAGCTTGTAAATGTTTTTACCAATGTCTCAATCTATGTTATTCTCACTTGAAAGCCATGAAGTAGGTCTGACTCTGTTTTACTGTGAATCTTTAAACTTCCAGATTTCTGGAAGGTGAGTGTCTTCAAAGGTTCACAACCTCTGCTGAACAAAGTTTACCATATATAATTAATTCCCTGGAAATTGATTTTTGTAGTGCCATCTTATTTGCCAGACATATATTTTTTTTTCTTTTTTTTTGATATATTCTAGTGCAGAATTCCAGTGCAGGACTCCAAGATAGCCACATCCTGAGAGCACAGACTCAACACCTAACCCCTTACAGGTAAAACTCCATTTAAAATCATCTTTTTAGGCAAAAATTTGAGTCAGGACACTGAACACTGCTTCTGTGCCAGGACTTGCATTTATTACTCTGTGTATCCTGCTATGTAGCCTAAACAGGAATAAAAAGAGAACAGGATGAAGTAGCCGCAGAGTGGGATCAAATGCAGTTCAAGGCAGCAGAGAACCACACCTTGAAACAACACACTTTGAGTACTTGGCATTAAAGGTAAAGGAAAGAGAAACTTGCTACAGCAAATCATAAGCCACAGACTGCTACATTGCAGGCAGAAATCATATGCTGGAATGCACACAGGAAAGAGAAGGCGTGTGATTGCACAAGTATTCACCCTATTGATTCTGCTTGCAGGTTTTGCTCACAGCTTTTCTGTGAGCCCCAGCAACCTGAGTTAGCATCTTTTACCATCTGTATGCTTATACAGTGGAAATGTTGACAAGCTGCAAAAGCAGCAAAAAATTGTGAGCAGAGGTCCCAGGGAGGGACACTATTGCCAGCCAGACCAAACACACTGTCACAGACCGAAGTTGTGAAACACACAGATGCAGGGAATAATGAGAATTTTATTGAAGAGTTGTTGTGTTTGCTAGTTTGAGAGGTTTTTTGGCTCCTCCTCACCACCTCACCAGTTAACAGAGTTAATTTGGATAAATTTCAGCTGGAAATGAGTGATAGGTAGAAAACTGTGAAAGGTGAAAATGAAGGCTGAAGTACTTTATTAAATACACAGCCAATGGGTAAATCCTTCCCCATATGTATGGGCGCAGATTAAATTTAAAGGGGGAAGACATGAGAGTTAAGGAACCTACAAGTCTTTCCTGTCTTTAAACACATACAGCGTGCTGCTTATTCTCACAGCTACAGGACAGACCTGGGTCTACCAAGTACTTATTGCTTCCATAATATGCTCAGACTTCAAGGGCATGTCCATAAATCTGGCAGTAAATAAACAGATGATTCATACTCTTCCTACGGCAAGACAGCAGGATCAAAGTCTTTCTCCTTCATCACTTGCATAGTCCTTGAGTTACTCTGCCAGTTCCTGGCCATGAGTGTTTTTCATTATTTCATCATACACCAAGGATTGCAGTGTCTTACAGAGCAAACTAGATTTAAGTGGAAACTTGGGCTGTGCTTGTACTACACTCCTTTCTTAAAATTTCTTTTATACCCAGATAGTTTTGTAAATAGTCTATTGTGCTGTAAAATTAAAGCCAAGTTCTCTGCCATGTACCTACCACTGTCTGCTGAGATTGCTGAATTATATTATAGAGTAAGACTTTAAAAGGCTATTGCTAAGTCGCTGAGTCACCAATCAATCTTGCCAGACAGTGCATTGTAAGCTTTTGGTCTAGCACAATAGAAAAAGCTTTGACGTAGTTTCAAGCAATGCTATCAGCACCAGTGAGTAGACAGACAACAGGAAGGATGGATCATGGAGAAATTCAGACAAAAATCAGGAAGTATTTACTGCAACCAGACCAGTTACATTTTAGGGTTTCAGTTGCACCGAAACGCTGACAACTTCCCCCCTACTATGCTGAGGCATTCCTACAGTATGGATTCAGAGAAGGGTGACAACCATTATACACCCCTTTCTGCTGTACAAAATGGTCAGCCTTCGGATACAGGTATGAGTTCTCAATTCAGTTTTCTTAGTTTGAAACATTTCTTCCTTCAACAATAATATTCCAATTCTGAAGTATTTTACATGAACAGATTCCTATGACAAACTGGGAGTCCTACTGTTATGACTCTGTTCTGGATTTCACTGGAATCTTGCATTTGTATAGGAGTTTGCTCGTACAGGACTGTTGGTTTGGTGGTTTTTTTTTTTTTTACTTGTACATAATAAATACCAGAGGGATGGATAGTATTTTTTTCATGTACATGCAGTTTCCTCTTTCTCTAGCTAAAAAATGTTTTTTAACTCTTACCAAGTATCTATTTGCCCTGGAATATGTGATAATCTTGAAGAATAAACAAGTATATTTTTTTGGTAGAATGGGGTTGTTTTGTTTTAGCTGGTGTATGCTTCTTTGAATAGAAAAGCCAAGAAGAAAGAGCAAGCCATTTGGCACCCCATAAATCAACTCTCCCAATTATTATCTTGATTTCCTTACTCACATGTCTGCATTTACAGGTTTTAAACATGTGAATCTTAGTAAAAATATCAGAGACCTGAAAATTAAACATTCCATGATGGCTTCCTCTGCACAAGTTTCAGCAAGATATCTAGAACATAATTTATAGAAATGGTGACTACCTTCTGTCACTGGCTGAAATTAATTGTTCAGCACCTATGCAAGTTAAACTCCTAATCTTGATCCTAATGATTATTACCAATGCTATCTTAAATGCACATGCAGGAAAGACAAAGTCCTTCTGTTTACCCATATCATTCACAGAAAGAACATACAACTACTACTGTAGGGTTGAAACTCTAAAACCTTTTAAAATTTTTATAGTGTCCTGTAAAAGAAACGAGCACAGGTACATGCCTATGTTACACTCAGTCTAAAATGGTTGTCTCCATAACTCCGGAGCACTTGCCACAGAAGACCTGTTAAAATATGATGTGAGTTTTACCAGACATAAAGCTTCTACTGAAGGACTGCAAATTCCAGCTATCTGTTAAAAGTCTGTTTGTCACAGGAACATTCTTAAAAAAGGGAACATCAAAGAGCTATTGCCACAATTTCAAGTCTTTGTTGTAACAGTAATCATCCTGGCCCAAGGACACAAACAAGGCAAAGTTTACAAACAGGAATAATTTATTTAGACAGAGCGTTTAGACACTTGAGCTCTCATCCAGATGCAATTAAACAAAAAGAAGTTTTTGCCTACAAGATTCATCTTGCAACAGGTCTTAATTGCTCTGGTGAAGTGTCAAGTATACAACATGTTGGCTCATAATAATAATAATAATTTTAAAAAAGACTTTTAAAAATAAACCTTAAATTTACAGATATTTTTGTAACTCAGTCTTGAGGGAAATCACTGAAACTTCTAATAAAACTAACTTTGTTCAAATAGGACACCAAGATCGCAATCCACATTTTGTAGAAAAGCTAGTTAAAAGCTATGAGCTGCTCAGCTGAGAGATGTAATGAAAAATATCTTTATTTTCCCACCCTTTTTGTTTTCACAAAGTACTTAGTTGTAAAAACACAGAGATGGCAAAACTAAGTGCTCAAAAATCATGGTGTTTAAAGGCCCTATATGACCTTGCTGGGATATTGCTTTGTTTGTTCTGCCACCCGTGGTTGGGTTATACATTTGCATGCCAATTTTTCCCACAGAGGCTCTGTTCTGCTCTATGCAGAAACAACAGGTTTGGGTTTTTTAAACTTGCTGTCAGTGTCACCCATGTTCTGTTCTGTTTCTTCCTATATTTCCAGCTTGCTTTTTCCTCTTGATCTAGGGTATGTTCATACTTCCTCACACCTTCTTGCCACTCTTGGCTGCACACTTGCACATTTCCCAATTTTTTTTTTTAATTTTATTTTATTATTTTTTATTACTTGTTATTACTTTCCTTCAACACTTTTCCCCTCCAAGTTTGTATTCTCCATTCAGTCTCTCAAGTTTCTGGTTTGTTTTGTTTTTTTTGTTTGTTTTTTTTTTGGCCAAAAAAACCCACCCCTCCAACTTTCTACCTATCTACCTTTAGACAGACAGATTTTTTTTTTTTTTTTTATTAATATTTGTAAAGCTGATGGGGATACCTGTAGGCATTTCAGAAGTATGTAGGAGTCCAAGACATGGTTAGATATGATGAAAATGTCAATCAAAACTTATTAAATGTAGCTGTAGAAAGCATGAAAAGGGGAAAGTAATCTGGAACAAAGTTTTGGAAACCTTTTACTAGACCTAAGTATGCCTTATTAGTTGTATGTTAAATGAAATAAGTCTTTTAGCCTCAGTAGGCCAGCAAGGTCTCAAAGGACACTTAATTATAGGAAAAGGTTAAAATAAAAATACTATTAACAGCAATGAACTCTTTGCCTTTGATAACTGAACTCAGCGCTGGGCAGTAAAGTTGGACTAAAGCTGAATTCAATTTCATCCCACTTTCTCCATGCAGAGTGGATATATTTCTATTACTGCATATCCGTGTCAAGGATTAGGTGCTGCAAGACAGTTTTCTGCCAGCACCGATCTCCCGTTTGCACGGCACTTCCCAGCTGCAATGAGGTTGCAGCTTTTTGCCATATAATATCTAAAGATGGGTTATTTCGGCCTAAAAGGCAGGCCACCACCCTTAGCGGGTTCCAGGGGTCCGGGATGACCCTCCTGCTGCGGGCAGCAGCGTCGAGGGGCTCCCAGCCCCGTGGGGCCGCCCCTCGCCTTCCGCAGGGAGCAGTCACAGCTCGCTTTGGGGGCTGTAAGCGAAAAACAGGAGGTGCGCTTAAAGCGTAAAATTCTAAAGTCTGGTCAAGACCATAAAACCGGAAAACCCCCACCCCCAAAAGCCGGGCCGCCGGAGCCAGGCCGGCTGGAGACGCGCACACCTGCCTGCCTCCTGCCTTCCCCTCGGGCCAGGGAGGGTGCTCAGGGGTTAAGCCCAGTCGGGGGCGGAGGCAGCTCTGCCGGGCTCCGCCGCGCCGCGGGTCTCAATGGGGCCGGCGGGGCTGTGCGGGCCGAGCCCCGGGAGCGGGGCGATGTCGCAGGGTCCGCCGGGCGCGGGGCACCCCAATGACCTGCCCGACCACGCTCCGCGGGTGCGCAGCGCCCTGGCCGAGCTGCGGCGGCGGGCGGAGGCAGAGCCCGCACAGCGCTGGCCGCAGCCGCTCTCCGATGCCTTCCTGGTGCGGTTCCTGCGCGCCAGAGACTTCCACATGGACCTGGCCTGGAGGGTAAAGAGCAGCGGTGGCCGCCCGCGGGGCGGAGGGGGAGGAGGGGGAGGTGGCGTCTCCAGGTGCCTGGGGATCCCCCGCGGTGGATGTCACCGGCCTGCCCCGGCCCGGGACGGGGACGGGGGTAGCAGCCGGACGGGGGCTGTCGCTGGGTATTGGGTGGGCGAGTGAGCTCTGCCCTTCTGGGGTCGGCCGAGGCCAGCCGAGGAGTTTCAGGGTGTAACTTAATTGCTTGTCACGCGTGTCTTCGTCTTGGCACAGAATGAATGCGCTGTCTCACATTCAGCGTGGCTGGTTCTGTGCAGTCTCGATGAGGTAACATAAAAGTTGTGGAAAGGGTGGTATAGTCACTCCCGTATGCAGTAAGTGCGGTAAGGTTACAGCTCCGGTTAGGAAACAGTATCCTTGAAAGGACATCCTTGTCATGATTGTCGGGCTCAGGTTACTGGTTACTAGCAGCGATACAACTACTGTAAAAAAAAAAAAAACAAAACCTATGTGTAAAAACTTGTTTACTCTTGGAGTTTAGTCATTTACACCACTCCTTACAGACTTTGGTAAATCATAGTCCTTTCCTGACTCTTTGTATGGTTTTTTGCCGCAGTGCATGCGTATTTTTAATATCCAAAGGTACAGATTTTTACTTTTTTTTTTCTTTTTTTTTTTTTTTTGGTAAGAAAGACTGGCAACCACTAAATTTTGGAACAGAAAGTATTTCCAAATCTTCCCGGGGCAAAAACTGATTCACAGTGTGCCAATTGGAAGCTGTGTTTCTGTGGAATTTGATGTTGTTTACATAGCGTTGCCCAAGAGACTTCACCTATTAGTTTCTGACTTCTCTGTACTGTAGATTTTCCGAGTTTACTCACCATAAGAGAAGATTGTTTGCATACAGATTTATTGCAGCATTGAGGTATCTAAAAAAAGAATGAGGAATTGAATTAGGCCCTTAATCATAAATAGCTTTAAAAATTAGATTTTTGTTCATTTCATTTGACTCATGAGATTTGTGTTACAGCTTTAAACCTTTCCTCCAGCAGAAGAACTAGGGAGTCAATTCAGATTCCTTCAGCTTTAAACCTTTCCTCCAGCAGAAGAACTAGGGAGTCAATTCAGATTCCTTTGGGTACTCATGGATCTTACTTTTGCTTGAAGTTCATGAGATTCTTTTATATCAGAACTGTGCACTGGCAACTGTAGGACCATGCCTTTTTTTTTCTTTCCCAACAAGAGCCATTTTATTTTCCTGTATTCCCTGGTTCCAAAAAGCAGGGCTTAATGAGGACAATATGGACTACTGATTATCCACTCCTAATTGCATTGCAATTGATTGTTACTGGTAATCCTGTAGACAGGATGGCGACACTTCAGAATGTGGCCCATGCACTTCTGCACTTTGATGTGACTAATTGTTAGGTGCGTTGTAGGTAGGTCTAATATTTGAGAGAATCTAAGTTAGGCTTAGAGATGGCATCTATGAAGTAGCAAGTTTCCTATACTCCTCTTGGAATCAGTCCTCTAGACTGGGGACCTGCTTTGAAAAAATTAAGTCTTTTTAGAATCTTTTCTTTTTTTCTGAGTCTCCACAGACTGCTAAATTTCTGAATTTCCACCCTTTCTTTGAATTAAGAGATTCTGATGTCCAAACCAACCTGTGTAAAAATGTTTCTGCCTAGAATTTCAGTTCTCCAAATGCTGTAGCTATTTGTACTTAATGTTCCACATACTAGCTGAAACATTTTTTCTAGAATACTTCTCTTGCAGCATAGGAAGAATAAAGGAAGCATACCTCCCCCCTCCCCTTTGGCCAAAGTTATTGCAATTGGTAGATCAAGGCCCAAGAGAATTATTGTGCAAAAATCTGTGGTGGTCACAAGATGTATATTCATCTAATCCAAGTCAGACTTCATGCAGAGGTTACATTAGTACTTCAGCCTAGAGAGAGCCTTCCTGCCATCAGTCCGGACAGTGGCTGTTCCCTCCCACCCTGGTCTGATGTTGCCTCTTGGTTTGGAATTCAGGTGGATACAGTCCCTTTTTACCCACTGGGCTCCTGTGTACCTACTGCATAGGACTTGTGGAGCAGCTAAGGGATAATCAAAGTTCATGGCCCTGTCAATGCTTTTAAGCAACGGTTGTCCAGCATCTTAGTACGGGCTTATAATCAGCCTTAAATATAAATCAAGAGTCTGGCAACCAACCAGACTGTTTATTGATGGTTAATAATTGACACAGATTTATCTGATGTCTGTTATCAACATTTGGAAATTCTTCAGAAAAGAATAATCAGGTAATTGTGGCAAGACATTCCATTTCTAAATCGTTTATGGTGATTCATTGCAACAGGAATCTTTTACATTTTTCCAGTGGCAGTTCCAGACTTGCTTTTAACTATTGATATATTTATACCTATCATGCTAGAAGAAATAAATTCATACCTAAATATAAATTCATACCTGAGCTGAGCGATGAGTTAATTTGTGCAGATACATGTAACTCCTGTATATACTGTAAACTAAGAAACAGGGCCACAGGTCTCTATTAACTGTGCTAAAGAAAGGAGTTTATATACCCTTTTTTCAATATACCAGCTATGTCTGTATGTTTCATTTTATTGATATCATTAAACCCACTGTTACTTGGGCCCAGAGAGTGCTGGTGAACAGGGCTGCATCTAGTTGGTGGCCAGTCACCAGTGGTGTCTCCCAGGGATCAGTGTTGGGTCCAGTCCTGTTTAGCATCTTTATTGATGAGGGGATTCAGTCCATCATTAGCAAATTTGCTGATGACACCAAGTTGGGAGGAGCGTCGACCTGCTGGAAGGCAGGAGGGCTCTGCAGAGGGACCTGGATAGGCTGGAGAGTTGGGCTGATTCCAATGGGATGAAGTTCAACAAGGCCAAGTGCAAGGTCCTGCACTTTGGCCACAACAACCCCGTGCAGTGTTACAGGCTGGGCACAGAGTGGCTGGAGAGCAGCCAGGCAGAAAGGGATCTGGGGGTGCTGATTGACAGGAAGCTGAACATGAGCCAGCAGTGTGCCGAGGTGACCAAGAAGGCCAATGGCATCCTGGCCTGGATCAGGAATAGTGTGGCCAGCAGAACAAGGGAAGTGATCCTTCCCCTGTACTCTGTGTTGGTGAGGCCAAACCTTGAGTATTGTGTCCAGTTCTGGGCCCCTCAATTCAGCCCCTCAGACACTGAGGTGCTGGAGCGGGTCCAGAGAAGAGCAACCAGGCTGGTGGAGGGACTTGAGCACAAGTCCTGTGAGGAGAGGCTGAAGGAGCTGGGGTTGTTTAGTCTGGAGAAGAGGAGGCTCAGGAGAGACCTCATCACTCTCTACAACTACCTGAAAGGAGGTTGTAGCTGGGTGGGGGTTGGTCTCTTCTCCCAGGCAACCAGCAGCAGGACAAGAGGCTTAAGCTCTGCCAGGGGAGGTTTAGGTTGGATATTAGAAAGAAGTTCTCTACAGAGAGAGTGATCAGGCATTGGAATGGGCTGCCCAGAGAGGTGGTGGATTCACCATCCCTGGAGGTTTTTAAGATGAAGCTGGATGTGGTACTGAGTGCCATGATCTAGTAATCACAGTGGGGTTGGATCAAGGGTTGGACTTGAGGATCTCGGAGGTCTCTTCCAACCCGGTTAATTCTATGATTCTGTGGTTCTATGATTCTATTAGTGTTATGCAAAATCTGGAGAACTAGCATCTCCTTTCCCCCATAAATGTTTTTGCCTAATGCACTTCATTGTGTCCTTGCATTACATCCCATTACTCTTCTATAGGACTGATTTTCAGTGACTTGAGGATACTGCTTTTCTACTTGAAATGGATCATACTCTGGGGAACAGAATGAAAATCTTTAAGTGCAGTAAAAATACAACATTGAAACTCTATGCCCAGAGTTTTCATAACATACTTTGCTTTTATGGCACTGAAAACTCTCTAAATATCTAGGATCCTTTAGGAGTTCTGGTTGATATAAAGGTAAACAGCAAGACTTAGGGTTTGCTCTGCATTTGACTTACAGTGTGTTGTACTGCAAGTAAGTAACTGGGAATAACTGTACTGTCCAAGAAAGATTGTTTTTCATAGTTCCAAACATACTGATGAACCTTAGGCATTGTCTCTGAGGATTTTCACATCACTCAAACACAAATACTAAGTTTAAATCAGTTACTTGGCTGCATTTCTTCCACCAGTACCAATGGATTCCTCAAAAAGGATGGAAGAGCCCTTATTAAGCTCTCTGGGCTGACTGTTGAGGAAGCATAAATCAGTGCTTCCCTTTGCACTAAGCCAAATATCTCAACTTACACGTGCCAATCTTTTCCCAGTGGCAAAGAGGTAATGCATGTGGAACTGAGAAAGTTCTGTATAAAATTATTTTCAATTTTTTCTCTGCATATACCATATGTTTAAATTCTGAGTGTATTTATATACATACATATAAAAAGAAATATAAAATATATATGCACAGAGGTGTGGGTGTATATATATATTTATATATTTATATATATATGTTTATATTCTGAAGTTTAAGCTGTGGTTTTTCCTGCAAAGAATGCTAATAGAATTTTTTTTCCCAAAGCATCGTGCGCGTTGGTACAACTGCTGACAGAGGCTTAATTCTGTCTAACATCCTTGTAATAAATATATAGTTATTAATCAAGAAAAAAAATTAATTTACATATACAGATGCATTGGTTTCTCTAGCAAGCGCATTGTTTTCTAGTTCTCTTGCTTCTAAGCAAAGTACTAAGTTCATTTTTTTTTTTTGTAGCACATGAATTTTGGTTTAATTAGTAACTTTATAATCTCTGATGTTCAGAAATCTGGAACTATCCCCAACAGACATCAGGAAAAAAAAACTCTTAATTAATGCCTAACTCCAGTCTGGAGTTTTTCATCCAGCTTTACCCATTTATCAAGTTATCTTACATCTATTTTCAGATGCTGAGCAGATGCAAAGTAGGTTATTCAGTTTGTAAACACATATAATTATACATTGTGATGTTTTCCTTGTGTTGCAAGTACCTAAGCCATTTTTTATGCTAGATAATGAATGTGCTTGTTTTTCCTGACACTAGGTTGTTCTATTTATATCCAGACTGTTTGTTATACATAAAATTTATGTTCTTCTTGATGTCTTTACTGAAAAAAAGAATTAAATATTTCTCATTAATTTTTGTGTTTAAATAGTATGAGACTAGAAAACCTGTAAGTACCCACTGCTAGTTTTTTAATTCTGTGACATGTTTGAGGATTACTCATTTAAGTAGCTGTGTGTGATCTTAGTATGTCCAGCTCCTAAAAAAAGGATTGTTTACATAAATAAAAATTTACAGAACCTCTCCAAAACTGGTTGTAGATGCTGTGGAAGATTATCTAATGCTAACCTTTACTTCAGCTCTAAATCATTTCAGGTAGTTAGATGAGGTTTTCAAAATCTGAGAAGTCTTCAGCACTTCTTGATTTTCTGGCCAAGTGAAGTATGATTGAAGCTTAAACATGTTATATGTCTGAAAGATGCACCACTTGTTCATGTCATGGAAAGTGTCAGATCAGAAGTATTCCAACTATATATTTACTCCTTAGCGGATGCGCCAGTAAGTAAATTATGTCTCCTATATGATCTTGAGTGTGTCACAAGCTGCAAACACTACTCTCTTTCTTCAAAGGTCCAGAACTTAAATCCTTTTTGTTTCCAACTTGGTAAATGTAAATATTCCTGAAAATGAGAAACTAACTGTACTGACAAGATGGGATTATTTAGGGTATTAAATGACTGTATCATTTTTATTCTCAGCTTAGTTTTGGCAGGCAGCTATTCAAAGGGGTATTTAAAATATGTAATTAAAATATGTAATTGTTAATTACATTCATTAAGTTGTCGTACCAGAGATTTTAGAAGAAAGGTAAGAAATGACAAAGCTACAGATATTTGCCTAGTTGTTTTGTATTGTTGGGTTTGTATTTTGCTGCTTTTTAAGTGTCTGTTATGGAAAAATGTGGACAAGAGCATATGTTGACAGTGCTGTCTGGTTGGCACAAAGCAGCTGGAATTGCTCAAGCAGTGTCCTTTGTAGACAGTCATGCACTAGAAGAGTGAGATAATAAGAGTACCTCATCAAACCTATTTTTGCAATTATAGTGAATTTCCCTTCCACAAATTAACTTACTTTTCCTACTCCCCAACCCACCTTGCCTTTTTCCTTTGCGTGTTAGTTTTTAATTTGGCCTAGGCTAGAACTGATTTAATGCAGTCAAAAGGCTTCTAGTAAAATTCTCATAATGGTTAAATATTTCTTTCTGTGATGTATAATTTAGGATGAGGCTTTTATCCACTTCTTCACTGCCAAATCAAGTCAGATATTAACATGGCAGATGAACTTTTTCATTTTATTTTATACCTAAATACATATTTATTTGTGCTATTTCCATAAAGGATATAGCTAATTTCTGATCAGTATGTCATGTATTTGTAAGTACTGATAAACAATAACATTTTGGAAATAGTTTCCTCATGATAATTCATTTGAGAGACCTTCAAAATCATTCAAGACCTCAATCTGAGCAGAAGAAAAGGTATGTTTTATATAAAATGATACAAGAGGCTTGGAAGTAGAGGAAAGGGTAAGAAATAAGACTAATTAGCTGACATGCTATGAGGTAGAGAATGGTGAGTCTCAGGTCTCCCTCTAAGAGCCTGTAGGTAACCATCAGCATAGCTGATGCTGTGATTTTCCAAGGGATGAAGTCAATTCTACTGAAATTCCTTTGACCATTCTGCCAATGAAATGCTGAAGAAATTTATACTTTTGCATAGATACAAGGAATGTGTAGTTTATTTAAGGTTATGTTCTATTATATTCTATTATTAGTTGTAGCTGACAGCTCTTTTAACTGTAATATTTATATTGCAAAATATGGAGTAATTGATAACAGGATAAAAATTAGTTTCTGTTAGTGCTAATTAAAAGAAATACAAGACTGTTGTTTGATGCTCTCAGTGGCTACCTTTAAGATTTAAACCTACATTTCAGTTTGTTTTGAAATGAGGTGCTGAAAAATTCTGATTCTCTTAGCTCCTTTGAAACTCTTGGGTTAAAACTCTAAGCTGTAGCTATTGAGGAAATTAATATAAAACCTAAATGATTTGCTGTAGCTATCCTTCTGCTCTCCAAATTCACTGCTAGAGAACTTAGCATAAGTGATAGAACAGAGGCAAAATTTAGTTGATGAACTGAGAGGAAACTTTTCAGAAGACAGTCTTGCATATTTTCCTACCTACCTAAGCAAATATCCTAAATAAATTTTAGTTGCAGGGCAGAGCAGTTCATTTTCCCCACCAGCACTTAATTAATATTAAAGGAAAAACAGTAATTAGATTTGGAAATTAGAACTACTGCATCACCAACTTAGTTTTTCATGATCCATCTCTAAGATGACCTTTCACAGAGCTGCCTGTAATTCCTCTACATAGATGTCACCTCACAAAGGAAAGCCTTTAATTGCCTCTTCCTTGGGGTTAGGCCATTACCTTTCAACACACAGCTCTTCCTGTGCCTTAGAAATACTAGTTATGATGCTGCCTTCCAGACTTCGGAACTAGGGTGATAATGTCCCTGATACCAGACAGGATCTCTATTTTAGCCAAACAGGTTCTCATTGTTTCCACTCTGTGGGAGGAAAATTGTGTAATGTGTAATGGACCCACTACTTTGTTATATTCTGCCATTTCAGATGGGTAGGAGGGACTTCAAAAATGTTTTTGGATATACTAATGATTATACCTGTTTCAAATAGTAAACTAGAATTATTGATGACTGTGTGTACAAAATAAGGGAGGGCAGGGGAGAAGGGAGAGGGTATGTGAGTGAAGGAGAATGTTCCTCTATAAGAGTTTTGCACATTTAAATTCAAAAAATCCTGAATGAATCTGATGCAGTGTCAAACTGAATACCCTAAAGTAACCTGAGTGAGAAAACTGCAATTTAGATGCATTTTACATAGAAACTACAAGCTTATTCTACATCCAGTTTTCTCTTCTGATACAAAATGACAACTCCAGTCCATTAACAATTTGACAGGGTTCTAAATTCAACATAGCAATTTACTCACTTGTTTTATCCAGTATAGCAACTTTCTGTTTCTAGGAGTGATTTGCTTAAAGCATACAATGAAATTATAACCAATGTAAAGAGTTAAACTCAACTGCGACCGCATCTGGAAAACATATTTTTAACTGTGCTCTTCATGCAATAGCTGATGCTTAGCTATCATCCACGTTTATTTATTTCCAGTTATTGAAGAATTATCAGAAGTGGAGAACTGAATGCCCAGAAATAAGTGCAGATTTAAAACCATCTTCTGTTCTTGGTCTTTTGCAAGCTGGCTATCATGGAGTCCTTAGATCAAGGGACCCACATGGAAGCAAAGTTCTAATATACAGAATAGGTGAGTGATAAAATTAGCTGGAACTGTGGTGTTTGTTTGTTTGCTTGCTTTGGGGGTGTGTGTGTGTGTGTGTGTGTGTTGTGGGGTTTTTGTTTTGTTTTTGGTTTTTTATATTATCACAATTTCTGCAGAAAATCAAAAATATTTTATAGTTAAAATGGCAGCTGTTGATAAAATTAGATAATATCAGAATGTCTTAACTAGACAGCTAACATATTGGTGCTCTCTGTTGGAAATGCCATTACATTAATATAGTTACTGAGTTACTGAGCTGTGAGGGTTACATCATTTTGCTTATATTACTGGTACAGCTAAAGTTGTACAATTCTCAAGGGAGAATTTAATTTCATGTGGAATTCTTGTCAGTATCCAAAGAAGTCTTAAAGCTTAAAACTTGTAAGATTATGTGGTTATTTGGGTCTGAGTGTCTCAACAATTATTTGTGTTCATGTAAATTTTCAAAGCCATGGGCTAAGACTGTGGTTATTGGTGCAGATGCAGCACAGAGAGGATGGAACAGAAAAAAAGGTGTATACCTAGTCATATATCAATATTCTGATTAGGTATGGATGAGCAGTTGGACGAGTTTTCAGTGTTTACTTGTAGCCAAAGAGCCTTATCTAAAAATTTAGAAAATGTTTGATGCACTCCCAAAAGTCTTTTTAAAACAGATATTGTTGTGAATGTGATATAGTTATATGAATCAATTGGATATAATATAGTTACATGAATGAATTGGGTTTGATGACCTGTATTCTCAGCTAGCATGACTGAGCTGTTTCTGTCAAAACCTTGTGTTGGAGTCTATAGCCATAGGTGGAACATACTACATTAGGTGATATCTATAGCCATCTACCATTAGGTGATACCATCTACTGAAAAAGCACAAAAGATGAGTGACAGAGCAGGCACACAAAGTAACTTATGTACTGGCAAATCAGTTTATTTCAGGGCTTTTAATGTTGCTGGTTAGTTCTTTTTCCCAAGAAGCACATTAGAAGCAGTAGCAAGGAAAACTACAGGTATATGGGGTATTCTCATGGTAATGCAGGGTAATCTATTTACTCTTCAGGACAATGGGATCCCAGTGTATTTACCGTATACGATGTGTTTCGTGTAAGTCTCATCACGTCTGAACTCGTTGTAAAGGAGATTGAGACTCAGCGGAATGGAGTCAAGGCTATCTTTGATCTTCAGGGCTGGCGATTTGCTCATGCATTTCAAATCAGTCCAGCAGTGGCCAAGAAAATCGCTGCTGTTCTCACAGTAAGTACGACCTACTGCTTTATGCAGCTTCATTGCTGTAACTTCCAATTTTTCATTAGTTCTAAGCTGTAGCAAATTTTTATTCTGCAGGCTTTCTCAGTCTCTGCAGCTTTAAGGAACAAAATCCTAAATCCATTAATAGCCATAGGTTGCTCTTGATTTTACTTAAAGTATGTTCTTCGATAGCAGTAAATGCCCCGTAACTTCTGATATCTTATAAGAACTCCACTGACCTGTTACAACACAAGAATTTCATGACTGTAAGAGTAGACGGTTTTAGAAGGGTTGTGCATCTCTTCTTTTCAATTTCTTTGTGCATTAACTCAACATTCAAAGCTTTTATTCCTGAGACTCAGACAATATAATAAATAGCATGCACTGAGTAGTTAAGAGCAAGGCATTACTAACTTGTTACCAGTATCAATGATGCTATACAATCTTCCATTTGCTACCAACAGAATGCATAATGTTTATGTTCTGCTTGCTTTTTGCCCCCAGCATGAGAATTGTTTTGTGCAAATCACTGCTACCTCACTTCCTATTTTTCATAAAAATTCTAGGGACTTTAATTTCTTTAAGGCTTACGTCTTTCTGCCAAATTCAGCTGAATTTCATCTCTAGATTTGAGAGGAAAAAAAAGAATGAAAGAAAAAAGAGGGGGACAGAGAATCGACAGGCAAGCTACAGTGTAGTTCTGTAATCCCATTTTCCTTCAGAAGTTAGGTTGAAAGTCAGATATAATAAAACTGTTAGCCTGTGATGTGGAAATGAGCCAGGGAGAAAATCTCTTGCTCTGATTTGGTAAGGTTCATATCTGAGGTTAAACCAAAGCTTAGTCATTGAACTAATATCATCAGAATTTCAGCTGTTCTTCCTTTTTGGTACCTACTGTAAAACTTCAGTGAAACGGTTACGTATTCAAAACTTTTCACATCTAGAATAAGAACTCTTTGTGTTATACAGTCTTGGGCCAGATCTCATGAAAACAGGACTAGTGAGAGTGTTTCAGTTGATTTCTGGGGTAGTAAACCAATTACTAGTATTTTCTTTAACCTTGAAATAGAGCAGAAAGGGAGTAGAATAGGATTTTCAAGTACATCTATATGTTTCAACCCATTACCTCAAAGCAGGAAATTCTTTGAAAGTGATGTTTCCATCCTGACCTGTTTCAGACCAGTTGGATGTTTTGCAAGCTTCTTACTGTTTATTTAGCTATTGAAAAAAATAATCAAAACTTGTGTGTTTCCAGTGATCTTTTCTAAGATGAGAAAGAATTTAACTTTTTTTTCCCCCTGATTCATCACTTTAACTGGATTCATATATTTCACCAAGAGATTGTCTTAGAGTTATTCACTATCATAGATTCATAGAATCATAGATTCATAGATTCATAGAATCATAGAATATGTGGAGTTGGAAGTGACCCATCAGCATCATCAAGTCCAACTACTGGCCCTACAAGACACCACAAGAATCACATTATGGGCCTGAGAGCATTATCCAAACATTTCTTGAACTCAGACAGGCTTGGTGCTGTGACCACTTCCCTGGGGAGCCTGTTCCAGTGCCCAACCACCCTCTGGGTGAATAACTGTTTCCAATATCTAACCTAAACCTCCCCTGACACAGCTTCATGCCATTTTAATGAGTAATGTCGCTGGTCACCAGAGAGAAGAGATCTGTTCCTGCTCCTCTTCTTCCCCTCACAAGGAAGTTGTAGACTGCAATGAGGTCTCCCCCCAGTCTCCTCCAAACTGAACAGACCAAGTGACCTCAGCCCAGCCGCTTCTCATATGGTTTTTCCTCAAGGCTCTTCAACATCTTCATTGCCCTTCTTTGGATGCTCTCTAATAGCTTGATGTCTTTTTATATTGTGGTACCAAAAACTGCACACAGGACTCAGGGTGAGGCTGCAGCAGTGCAGATTAGAGGAAGACAATCACCTCCTTTGACCAGCTGGTAATGCTGTGCTTAATGCACTCTAGGAAATGCTTAATGCCCCCCAGAATATTCTTACAAGTAAATAAGAAACCTTGGGTTTTAACCCTATGTTTTACTCAGGAAATGTGTCTTGCAAATTACTATCCTGTATGAAGAAACAGAAATTAGTAGAAAGGAAATATGTATTAAGGAATGGAAAACATAGTAAGAAGAATAAGTGACGTTATCTTGAAAAATCTGTTATCCCAGGTAAAACAAAATTGTTTCATGAAAAACGTGATAGTAGACTTTAGGTATATGATAGCACATAATAACATGAAGTAAACCTATAATTGGATAGTTTTTAGATCTTTATCATACATTAAAATCTAAAAGAAGTGGCACTTAAGAAACATGTTGGGTTTGAATTTTTTCATCCTTCGAACTACAGTACTAGAGAGGAGAAATGTTTGTGAGAAGTATGATTTTTGTAAGCAGAAAATGTCTGGTTGCAGAGGTAGTATCTGCTGAGATATGAATGGAAGCTGTATTTTCCCCATTGCACAATGGCAGGTTTTGAGCACTGGCATATTCTCTTTTAAATTTCAAATGTCTGAGACTTTTAAATGAATCTTGAATGCAAGTAGAACTATTTCATATTATAAAGAGTTTATAGCAGATAATTTTTAAAATTTTCATTACAACAGTAATTTTGTTGTAAGGCTGAACTTTTGGCTTGGCCAAATTCCCAGTAATTTCAAGGCTTATCTCTAAATTATAAATATCATCAGCTGTGTTGGAAAGGACCTCTGAGATCATCAGGTCCAACCCTTGATCCAACACCACTGTGGTTACTAGACCATGCACTCAGTGCCACATTCAGTCTCATCTTGAAAAACCTCCAGGGATGCAGAATCCACCACCTCCCTGGGCAGCCCATTTCAATGCCTGATTACCCTCTCTGTAAAGAATTTCTTCCTAATATCTAATCTAAATCTCCCCTGGCAGAGCTTAAGACTGTACCCTCTTGTCTTACTGACAGCTGCCTGGGAAAAGAGACCAACCCACACCTGGCTACAACCTCCTCTCAGGTAGTTGTAGAGAGTGATGAGGTCTCCCCTGAGCCTCCTCTTCTCCAGGCTAAACAAACCCAGCTCCCTCAGCCTCTCCTCATAGGACTTGTAAAATTTATTTAACTTAAAGTTAGTATCTTCAGTAGTTTGTATTTATATATACTTACATGTTATCCTCCAGGTTGTGACTTGCCAGTAAAAACACATGCCTAGATACCTTTTTTGTAAATTAGCATCAGAATCCCTGTTATGAAGAACTGTACTTTAGAGAAAAGGCTGAGCACAAGGTTTGTGTATGTCGGGGGTGGACCAATATTTATTTGCTGTTTGGTGGCAGTTTTCTTTTTTTGTTTTGTTTTGTTTTGGTTTTTGTTTGGGTTTTGTTTGTTTGTTTTTGTTTGTTTGTTTTAATAATCAATCTCTCCTCATACTGATTTTTTTCTTTCTAATGGGAGGAACAAGATATGATTTTTTAAAATGTTGTTGTAGCAGTGTAAATTAAGAACACTCCAAAATGCAGAAATTGGCAAGATCAGGAGGAACAGTTTAACCTATATACTAGGCAGTTTTCACAGGCTTGTCCTTAACAATAGAATCTTTTCAGTAATATTTTTTTATGCTGTTTTTCGTGTATTTTAACAGGATTCCTTTCCACTAAAAGTTCGAGGTATCCACTTGATTAATGAGCCTTTATTCTTCTACCCAGTCTTCGCTCTAATTAAGCCTTTTCTCACTGAAAAAATAAAGGAACGGGTGAGTGCACACAAATATTTCTTTCTGCCAAAAAACCCTTATATGACAACCTGTAGCACTTCCCTTAGTATCTGCTACTCTTGAGCTTTGAAGAGCATAAATCATAGTTGTTTGTTAGTGCCATACTGACCTCCAGAATCTAATTGTAAAGCATTTGCAGTTATCAATAACATGAGAGTTGCAAGTGGTGCTGTTACCACCACTCTAAAGACAAAAACCACCGAGACACAGAGAGGTTTAATAATTTGTTTGAGGTTACAAAGCAATTATTCTGCAGAACTAGAAAAAAATAGGTCTTGGATATCCCAGTACTCTCCCTGTAAATGAGAGAGAAAAAATAGCACTGAACAGTGATGTTATGCTCCAAGTCATGCAGAATTAGTAGAAGACAACTGTTTAGCTCTGAAAGACCCCCAGAGGCATTTATGCATCAAAAATAGGTCAGACTGAAGTTTGAAGTTTTTTTCCAAATAGCTTCTTAGTTGTTTTAAATAGTTATGCAGTTATAAATCTGCAAATCTTCCAAATACAAACCAATTTGTATTTGGATGCAAAAGCATGCCAAGGATTCTGGTTTATTGTAGCATGGGAAGAATATTGGGTTTTTCAGCTGGCATAAAAGTGTTGACAGCAGGACTAAGGTAGAAAATAAGCACCCCTGTCTATTGTTATTCCCATTCTTGAAGCCTCCTTTTCTCAGCACATGGACCTTGTATATTTGCAACAGCCACTGCATTCCAGGACAGTAGATACAGATCTTTCTGGTTAGCTGTAATTTACCAGTCCCCTTTTCCTAGCATCTGTGTGCTATGAGAAAGAGGCAGCCTTGTGCAGTCCCTCACTCTCAAAAGATGATAGAAAGAGGGAGTATGTTCCAGCAGCCTGAAGCCCTGGCCCTCCTTTTCTCACATTAACACCTGTGAAAAAAACCCATGTCACCTGATCCAGTTTTGGGCTAGAACTTTAAAAATGGAAAAGAGGGCAGATGGACAGTAAAGGCCTAAACCAAAACAAACCTGGTATCCTAGCTCATTGAGTGGAACAGAAGCAGATTGTCCTGTCTCTTAGCTTAGAATTACAGGTCTGATCTGAAAAAAAAACCAACCCAAAACAACCCAACTCTAAGGGCCAGTTCCCCATACCTTTACAGAAATAATTACTATTCGCTCACTTATCTTACTTCCTAATGAGGAAGTGTTAAAGACAGCTTTTGAATGTATATCCTTATTGTCTTTGTGTAATAATAATTGCAGAAAATTCTTGTCAAGTGTTAATAAGAGGCCTATAATGAGAAGAAATAAAACTACAATATTACAAGGGTTAAAGTGGTTGAGTGGTCCAGGAACTAATTTCAGTTCGTACTGAAACATAAGGCCTAAAATATAGATCCTTTTGAATATCTTTCTTGACACTTGCCTGAATCTACATACTACATAATGTTGTTTTTAAACATGTTGGTTTTAAACTATCTGGCAGGACCAGATAGTATTGGCTAGGAGCCAGACACTGTCCTTTTCCTGGAAATGACTGAAAGGCAAGTACATGATATCATGATTAAACCAATCTCCAGTCTTCCCCGGTTTAGCCATTGGGATGTTGTGTGTACCTTTGTCTAAGTGTTGCTAAACCAGTCTGAAAAAATGTGTAGTTAGTTTTGGCTCCTGTGCTCATAGCTACATATAATACAGTTCTCAAGTTGTAGTCCATCCTTCAGTCTTCCTCCTATCCTCCTATCTTCCAATCTTCATATACTGAGCAGACAGTTTGAGCACCCATGGGAAAATCACAAGGTACTTCCTTAATTTTTTAAGGAGCTAATTATGAACAAGTACACTTGTTAAGTCAAACCAAGCTGATGGCTTCAGCTCTTGAACAGAATTTGTTTGCTGCCTGTTTTCACTCAGTAGTCTAGCATTCATACCCAAGTAAATACTTTTCATATTTTGTTTTAGGTGTTTATGCATGGAAATAACTACATTCAGAGTCTGACCCAACACTTCCCCACCAGCATTCTCCCACCGGAATATGGGGGGGAGGAAGTCTCCTTTGAAGAGCTGGCTAAAGAATGGACTGACTTTATAATGGCATCTGCAGATTATCTTCAGAGCATTTCTCTGGTTGCGCAGAAATAACCTTATTGCAGTATTATATCAATTCTTTAACAGTGAAAGTGGAAATAAGTTGAATATGAAAACATTCATTTGAACTTCAAATTATTGTGAATGAAACCAGTATATCTTTGCAGGGCACTGAATATTATATTGGCTGCACTTTATACTAACTGGAGTCTATCCGTATGTGTGTCTGAAGAGATTAATGAATTCTACATATTTGTAGTACTGTTTGTAATTGATTAACCTGTATGCCAGAAAGTTGAAGAATGCATTGGATATCAGATTGATACTGCTCCTGTTAAGTCTTTGGAGACAACTAATTTGTAATAATGCAGTCCAGAACCTTACACGTAGCTCTTGTATCTTGGCTTGTCAAGACAACAGGATATAAAATGAAGAACGGAATGTGACTAGGGTAGAGTAGTTTGTTGCAGAAGGGACTGCAGGGCTAATTTACAAGGAGCAAAGAGGCTGCCTTTTGGATTGATTCTCAGGGAAAAGGACTATTTTGTTAGTTTGTGTCAAATTGAAAATTAGTCAGCAATAGTAAGACATTTGTGTTAATCTTTGTGCTGCTTGTGCAGCTTCCCCATTTGTTCTAATTAACACAAAGATGTGTTAACATAAATTTTCTAGTTTTCTAAAGGAAGCTGGGAAAAACACCATATACCTGTTCTTCAAATGACAATATGAATCAGGAGGAGGAACTGGTAAGAGAGCCCAAACAAAGTTGAAAATTTTATTTCAAAGTGATATTGCGTATGGACAATGATAAGCAACTCGGATGATCAGCTTTAATTCTTACTGTAGATTACTACAGAAGTCAAGAGCTTTCAGCTTGTTTGCCTTATCTGTTCGTTTCAGAGGGTGAAGTATGTTACTCTTTGTGGATCTGAACTTTAGAAATACCTGTTAGATATTTAAGGGTGCTTTGAGGTCACTTTGAACCTCAGCATAGGAGATGCTGAGTGTCTTCATTTTATTTTTCCATAGGGGTAATGAAAAAAATCTCTATATACTTACTGGAAACCAGTTTCTGTTTTGTTTTGGTTTTCTAAGGGACATTATTGAGATATGAACACTGATGTAAAAGCTATCACTCTACATAGCAGTATCCTCCTGCAATCCCCAGTATCTAATGATCTAAAGTATTATTTTACTTTTCACTCAGCTTTTTCTTAAAATCTCTGTTAGTACAACAACTGCTAGAGTTCATTTACCCAGTTTTTAACTCTCTTTTGTAATAAGCCAAGAGATCTTTGCATAAGCACTATGTATTTAAGCATTCCATATGAGTCTTCGTATAAATGAATCTGTAACAAATGCTTTGTTTCTCAGGTAGCTATAAGTTATAACTTCAGTTATTTTGGAATCTTTAGGACATTGGGATTCTATATTCATATATGCTTAGGGGAGAGAAATTGTGCTATCCTATTAAATCTGAAATGTCTTATTTTCCATTATAACTAATACTGCATTACTGTGAAAGTCATTGGAAGCTATTTAATAGCTAGAGGAATATCTATGAAAGACACATTAGAGTAATCACTGATTGTAGTTTCTTCTGCTGTGATAAGGTCAGTGCCAGAAATTCTTTAAAAACTGACAAAAGCTTCTTAGGGTTTTTTCTTCCAATTCCCTGATTTTCTCAAGTGTGTTTTTCATTCTTCTCTTTCACAGTATATTTGATATGGAGCCTAAATTTGAATAAACCTTTTCCAGATACTTTTTCATAGGATAATATATTTCATATATCTTTCTTTTTTTTCTCAGATTGAACTATTTTGTGATAAAAGAATCTCCTTTAATAGAGGAGTTTGGTGAACTGCTAATTCTTCTTTATAAGAAAATAAACTAAGTAGTCAGGCATCTGGCAATTGTTCAAGTGTGTATCTGAAGTTCCAAATAATTTGCCAACTGGAGAACTGAAGCTATTGTCTTAATTTTACAGTCCTTCAATTTTAATCCTTGAATGTAAACTGCACAAAGCAATGAGCCATGTTTCAGTGAACAGGAAAATTTAAACTTTTCCCATGAAACCAATCTCTGATTGTTGCTGGTTTATGTAGCAGAGACCTCATTTGATTGCATATGTATGTGCCCATGCATATGTAGCTGGTTTTTAGTTTTTATAATCTTTATTTGGACTACACCAGCTCTGTGGATATAAACTTCTAAATGTCTTGAAAAATATCCTAAATCTGTTGTTAAGTGGTAGCGTGTTTGCATAACACAACAGTTAGAGGTCTGAGTGCAGTTACTTTTCCATAAACTTAATTATTTTTTAATGTTTACATATTATATAGAATGTAGGAACTCTAATTGCACTTGCTGCTAATAGTAATGACACAAGATAATTGTAACATTTGCATAATTAATGGAGGAGGTATTAGTATGATCCATGGTGATGTGGCAGCTTTGAGCAGCAGTAAAAAAAAAACAAAGATCCCTAAGTGTGTTATTCTTCAAAACCATCGGAAGTGCCTCTAAAAAAAGAAAGTTCCTGTTAAACGATGCAAACGTAATTTACTACTGACTGTAAGCATCACGTGATGCTCAATGTTTTTAATTATTTTTTACATGTTGACGCCATTTTAATTAATAAACAATTTCTGCTCGGACTGCCCTCCTGTGTCACTGTTTGGCGGTGCAAGCGTCCCTTTGCCGGGGCGCAGAGAAGGAAGGGACCGAGGGCAGCACCGAGGGCATCACCGAGGGCATCCCTTCGCGCCGCGCCCCTCGGCAGGGCGGGGCGGGGCGGGGCGGCTCTCCGGGACTGCATTTCCCAGGGAGCCGCGGCGCGGGGCCGGGCCGGGAGCCCAGCCCGGAGCCGTTGAGTCCGTTCGGCCGCGGGCGACGTGGCCATGGGGCGCTTCGCAGGGCTCCGTCTCTGTCCGGCCGCCACCCTCCTCGTCCTCCTCCTGGCCGTGCTGCGCTGCGCCGCCGCCTTCGTGCTGCGGGAGCGCTCGGCGGAGCGCAACGACAAACCCATCATCGGTAAGGGGCGGCCGCACCCCGCGCATCCCCGGCCGCGCCGGGCTGCCTCGCAGCCGCCTCGGCGGTGCCGGGGGAGGGAAGCGCCGCCGGTTTCTGGGTGGAGTGAAATGTCTCCCCGAGCGTAGGTTTGGTTGGAGCTGTTGCAAGGAGCGTTAACGCTATATATACATGCTTTCTCTAAAAAAAAAAAAAAATCTTAAAACAACGATGGGCTATTCAAGATGTTATGGTGCTACGCGGGGAAGCCGAGTCTTCGTCAGGTTATCTGTGTTTATGCGGTATCTTGTGAAGAGCCACCGTAATTGATGCCCCGTTGTCTCCGTGCCTGTAATTCCTCCGGGCGCTGCAACCTGACAAATCGGAAATGGGAGTTTAATTAATTAATTAATGAGAGCACAAGTCTTATGAGGAGCGGCTGAGAGAGCTGGGGTTGTTTAGCCTGGAGGAGTCTCAGAGGTGATCTTATCCCTCTCTTCAGTTGCCTAGAAGGAGATTGTAACCAGGTGGGGTCGGTCTCTTCTCCCAGGCAGCTAGAAATAGGACAAGAGGGCACAGTTTTAAGCTGCACTGGGGGTGTTCGGATGGACATTAAGAAGAATTTCTTCACAGAAAGGGTGTTTAGACATAGGAATGGACTGCCCACGGAGGTGGTGGAGTCACTGTCCCTGGAAGTGTTTACGGAAAAACTGGATGTGGCACTTAGTGCCACGGTCTAGCTGACAGTGTGGAGTTCGGTCGAAGGTTGGACTTGACGGTCTCGGAGGTCTTTTCCAACCTAACTGATTCAATGATTCTTCTTTCAGTGTATAATATTTGACATATGCGTAGTGCTAATTTTCTTTTGAACTTTCAGGGATATTGGCACAGGAATGCCACTTTGGTGAGTTCCAGAGCTTTGGAAGATCTTATATTGCAGCTTCATATGTGAAATTTGTGGAATCTGCTGGTGCCCGAGCTGTGCCAATAAGGTAGATTTTTTTATATCCTTAGGAGTGGGTAATAATTGTGTTATGTAAGGGTACCACCTTAGAAACACAGAAAGCAGTTGTGCTGCTTTTCTGAGTGTTTATTGCTCCTCAGAGACTATTGGAAGATGTCAGAATTTGCAGGGAGTCTTTAGAAATCAGAATAAAAGCAGAGTGGACATGTACATTTTAATATTTCTTCTTATCTTAATAGTCTTTGTTTGGAAAGTACTAATTTTTTTTACCTGTAAAATTGCCCTTTGTAGTTTCCATGTTTTTGAAATTAGCTGTTTTAAGTCTACTGTGTAGTGTCTACAAATGCACATATATATCTAGATACACAGATACCTACTATCTCTTGTCACATTCTTTAGCCATAAATTTGAGGAATCAAGGAAGGCTATCAGCACTCCTTTAAAAAACCAAAGTCCCATTCTGTTCAAACTATGGGTCACTAACTCAATGTGTTATATTGTGGTTGTTGGGTAAAAAGTAGCAGACTAAGTAACATAATTGACTATATTCATAGCCAACAACTAGCTATAAAATATTAAGTACACTGAAATTGAATGATAAAATTATAGTTGTCAGAACTTAAAACCTATACTAATACATCTGCAGAAAATCTACACAGTCCAGTAAGAGCACCAGTTAAGTGCCTGAATTAGAAGCCAACTTTCCTCATGTAGCTAGTGTGACTTTCAGAATGTCCAGAAGCTTCATCCATAAATGGATGCTTCTAATTCTGGCAATTAAGTTAGATGCAGCAAAGCTGGATGCTTTGACCTATACCCAGTGTATCAGTTCTGCAGATATGTAGCCGTCTGTGCTATCTGGTTTTGTCTGGGGTAGTGTTAATTCTGATATGAGTCTGTGTGTTGAAGCTGTGCTGAACACAGGGTTGATAATATAGAGACGGGTTTTTTATTGCTGAGCAGTGCTTACACAGAACCTGTGTTTTTCATACTGCCATGCTGGCAAGGAGGTTGGGGGTGCATGGGTGTGACCCAGGGTTTGCAGCTCTGCCCTTCTTGGAGTCAACTGGAAACCGGAGTTGCCGGTCTGGAGGAAGTAATAACCATACCATTCCTGTAAAGGGTCAATTTTTTGAGTGTCTGCAAAAGGGTCTCAGAGTACCTAATCCTGAACTGTACCTGACAGGGCCCTATTTTCAATCTTATGGATTGAGCTGTTTCAAGTGAAGTGATTAATTTGATTGTGTCTATTCTATTCTGTTTAAAGCATGCTTTCTACATATTCTCTGTGGCTGATGCTTCTGTCAATAACAATTATGTTTTTGTGGTTAAATATGTGTATTTCATATGTATTATATAATTATTTTTTTGTGTTTCAGATTAAATCTTACAGATGAAGAATATAACAGAATATTCCATTCTATTAACGGGTAAGTTTTGAACACTGATTTTCTGTTGAAAGACATGATTGTTTCATTTTTGAGCTCTGCTGTATTCCCAAGAACACTGTCTTCCTACTCTTTATAGAGGTTGTGCTGGGCACTGCAGATGTGAAAATATGTTCTGAGAGAGTGCATTATTTCATCCACTATTGGTGCCTTTCCTTCCTTGAGGAACACGTCAGATAATCTGCAACAGTGCCAAGGCTCATCTTGGCATTCTCTTGTACTGGTCTGCAGGCAGGCAAAAGTGGCACCATAATTATTAGCAATTTTGCAAGTGAAATATCCCATTTCCTCCTTGTTATTTTTTCTCTCCTCCTCATTTGAGCTGTCACCTTAATTTTGATGTTTAATAGCACTTGCTTGGTATTTCATCTGTTCCTACCCTTTCCTTAACAGATTTTATTGTGGGCTTAGCGAAGTCAAAACCTTTTATGGTTTTTTGGCTTTATGTTAAAAGTGCACTTTAAAATCAGCTGATACTGCACTCCACAGCCTTAATTGTATGTGAGGCCATAGCATGTGATTGGGCTACTTGTAGTCATGAGGTGAGCATCTTAAACCATGGATATTTTTGGTAAGGTTATGCATGTGCTAGAGTGTTAATCAGCAAGTGTAGAATTTTCAGAATTTAGGCCTTTGGCTGTCCTCAGAGAGCATTGCCCTCGTGTACCACAGCATGCCCTGTGCACTAAACCACTGGGTGTTTGTGGTCTTGTGATATATAACCAAGTATGAGACAGTGACACTTTGTCCCCTGTGGCTAATCATGTTGGAGACAAAATGAATCATTTCATCCCTTTTTTCATGACTACCAGCCTCTCTTTGGTTACCAAAAGGTCTTTTCACCAGTGGGGTCTTCCATTCTTTCTACCTCACTACCTACCTCGATGCAGAATAGGGTGTTAGGCAAGTAGATCCAGTTCCTGTGCCCTTGTGTCTTTGCAGTGACTGTCAGTTGAGTTTGTGCCATGTAGGTGAGTAAGGATGTTCTATATTTCCTCCTGTAGTCCTCCACTGTTACTTAATGGCTTCGACAGTATAACTGTGTGTATAAATAACAAACAGGATCTCTGGAGGGAATTACTTACCTTTTTATGGAAACTCAGAATAAGAAGGAGATACAATGATTTTTCATGTTGCTTCTTTACAGTTGGAAATTTCTTATTATTAAGTGCTACCTTCTTAAAATCATGAAGTTCACTATAGTAGAGACATAATTTTATGAATATAGCAATGGACTCTTGAGGTAGCCTTTGAAATGCTCAGTGTACATCATCAGCTCTAACCAGTTAGAGATACTGGAATACACGTAGTTGCATTTCAATCTGCTTATGACAATCTCAAGCCATTATCATTGCTACTTAATGGGTTATTTCCTTTTTGCATTAGCAAAAATGGCAATCATTTTTCCTAATTAGTATTGACCAGTTTTTGGTTTGAACAAAAGGAACAGGTAGAGTGATTTTTTCACCACTTCCAGGTAAGGATCACCTTATTTGTTTAATTAGATCTCTGAAGAAATCTATAATCTAGCCTGTTTTAAAAATACCTGTAGCTGTATTAATTTTTAGTGTTGACACTGAAGAGTAATCTGATTTATATTTTTGTAAATATTACTTTTCCACATAGGACTTGGTGACTTTTGCATGATCCTGTGTGTTATTCACCTTAAAATAAACGTGGTCACAAGGGTTTAAAAGCACAGTTGCTCTGCAAAGGCTTGGGATCACTTGAAATGTTAGTTGTTTCTAACTGCTTGTTAGTATCTCATTGATATGGGTTGCTGTTTCTAGAGCACAGAAATGCTGAAGAAATCCTTCAACCATTTTGGTAAAAAATCAACAACTAGTGGATATGACTTGAGTAAATCTGAGGTTCTGCAGCAGTAGCATAAGGAGCGCTCACACATCCAGTTCTGTTCTGTGGGCACTGTTGCAGATACAGCCAGAAGAGGCTTCTTTTATTTCATGATACTGTTTTGATGGTATTTGATTACTTTGTGTTATCATGTGTACATGTGATATCTCTGCTAGACTGTACTGAATCTTTTTTTGTGGTATTTGGGTTTGGGAATCCATATGGGGAATTGCTACTGCTGATTATTTTTTGTGGTGGAAAAGGCTTGTGCACTAATTTTTTGAAATGGTTTCTGAGATTGCTATAGGATCCTGTGTGATCAAAGGTTATGGCCAAAAGTACTTTTTTTCCCTTTTTAATAGGAACTTTTTGGTCTGTGTTG